CTTGTCTGCATCTGCCATTACATTGCCTGTTGGTCCAGTGGTGAGTTAATGAACTGTGAGTTGTTACCTTGTCCCACTCAGAACATGTGCTTCCATGCCTTTAATGCCTCTATTCAGCTTTGTATTTCTAGAGCTTTCTCAGTCTCCCTGCAAAGACTTCAGCCTTCTGTATACAGGGGTTTGTAATTGCTACTTTCATAATGCTTCAGGTTTTTAAAAGGAGCTTTGTTAGTGTAGAATGTTGCATGTTGTACTGTTAACTGAAAGGTTAGCAAGGTTAGCGGTTCAAATCCACCAGCCACACTGCGACAGAAAGATGGATAGTTTTCTCCCATGAAGATTTAACCTCAGCAGCCCAGTGGAACGGCTGAGTCAAAATCGGCTTGGTGACCGTGGGTTTGCTTTGCCTGTTGGTGTCTGCATTTGAAAAGGTAGACTCAAAAAAACCCAAAAAATACACTTCAGACTCACTGGAGTTGCTTCAGAACTGGTTAGGAGGCTGTACCTCGCACAGATGCCTGCCAGCTGCCACAGAGAAGCTGGTGGATTTGAATGGTGAGAACTCCTGACCGCGGTTAGCCAAGCGCTCCTATGGACTGTGCCATCAGAGCGCCGGGCAGACTTGTTGCCTCTTAAAGATTGGGGGTGAGGACTAGGTTAGAGGAAGGTGTTTTTAGAGCTTCTTTCTAATTTGCTGCTATTAAGTAATTCAAGTGCTTGCCCTGTGGTGCTTGAGGGCAGCAGCTTGCAGTGTTTCCAAACATGTGCATGGATGACCTGAGGTGTTGTCAGACCGCAGAGCAGGGACACTCAACTGACCCTGACCGTGTTGCTTGTTAAGAGGCTGGCTTTTTAAAACAGGTGTACTTCTCAGCAGCAAAATGCACAGTAATGATAATTATGTCATAGACTTACAATATTGCAAAGCAGAGTTTTATCAAACTCATTACCAGCATGTTGACCCTCCAGTGGGTTCTCGAGGCTGTAAGCTGCATGGGAGGAGATGGCCCATCTATGTCCCATGGAGCGGCTGGTGAATTTGACCCTTCAGGGAGGCGTGGTCTTTGGTTAGTGTGACTCCGCATGGCTAGACCAAGGTAGCAGTGTTTGTAGGTACAGTTCTGCCCAATAGCTGTTACCAGATGCATCAGTAAGCCTGTGACTGACCATGGCTGCAGCCAATCCTTTGGCCTTGTGTGGACTCTGTTTATGGTGAGTCCACATGTTGGGGAAGGATGGAGAGCCGTGCCTTTATGGAAGTGGGTTGCCAGGTGCTGCTGGGTGAGTTTGAACTACCAACCTTTCCTGTTGTTGAATACAGACTGCTCCACCATGCACCTTTCCAAAGGTGTTCTTACCTACTTAGCCCTTACTTAACTTCTGTAGAGCAGAAGAAGGTTAAATTGTAGCTGTATTTTTTAATATGTAAACTAAAGTGAAAATCAATCCTAGAGAAAACTTACTTTTATTTTAGGAATAAAAAAGGATGAACAGGCTCTGGTTGCATAGTCTGGTTGCTTAGTGAGCTGCACTGTAGCCCAGTTACTGCATCTCCTGGGTGTTCAAATCCTCTAGCCGCTCACTGGGAGGAAACAGTCTCCTGGCACGTGAAAACCGATGGAGGGTCAAAAAGGATGCGAGTGTAATAATATGGAATCAAGACTTAATCACAGCCTCCATTATGGATTACATCTCAGCATCAAGAAGACAAATTGTCATCTCTGAACCAGAAGGCAACATCAGGATGGATGGAGAAGGGATTAAGTTAACACTTTGATCATACTTGGACCCACAATCAACACAGAACAGCAGTTGCAAAACCAAAAGATGTGTGTTGTTGTGGTGGTTATGTGCCATCAAGTCAGGTATGACCCATAAACAACAGATCTGAGCCCTGTTCTACCCGGCGCCATTCTCAACGCTTCCTGACAGAGTAGCTCCCATTGCAACAGTCACCACGTCAGTCGACCAGGTTGAGGGTCTTCCTCTCCTTCCCAAGCCCTATCATGTCCCTTCAAGGAATAGCACCTCCTAGCAACATGCTCAAAGTGTGTGGGGCAAAGCCTCATCATCTTTGCCTCCAAAGAGCACTCTGGCTGCACCCTCTCCAGAGCATACCTGTTTGTTCTTTTTGCCGTCCATAGGATGTTCAGTGCTCTTCTTCAACACCACAGCTCAAAGGCCTCAATTCTTCTGTCACCCTTATTCATTGTCCATCTCTCAGATGCCTAACGAGTGACTGGAAAGACCCTGGCCTGAATCAGACATGCCTTAGTCCTCAAACTGACATAATTTCTCCTCAATAATTTGGAGAGGTCCATAGCTGCAGACTTTGCCGGTGGAATGTGTCTTCTTATTTCCTGACTGCTGGCACCAACGGTGTTAATTGTGGATATAAGTACGATGAAGTTGTTGACAGTTTCAGTCTCTTCTCCATCCATCGTGATGTTGCCTCTCGGTCCCATGGTGAAAATCTTTGTCTTTTTGACATTGAGGTGCAGTTCGTATTGATGGCTACATTCCTTGATCTTCTGCAGCAAGTGCTTCAAGTCCTCCTCACTGTCAGCTGGCAAGGTTGCCTAAGGCAGGTTATTGATGTGTCTCCCTCTGATCCTGATGACACATTCCTCTTCATAGAGTCCAGCTTCTTGAAGGATTTTCTCAGCATATAGACGGAATAGGTATAGAGAGAGACTATAGCCCTGACATCTTCCCTTCTTAATTTTAAACCATGAAGAGTTTCCTTGCTGTGTTTGCACAGCAGCCTCCTGGTGTAGGGATAGGTTTTGCATAACAGCTAAGTGCTCTGGGGTTCCCGATTCTTCTCAAGATGTATTGCATTATGGAAATCTGTTGTTAAGAACCTCTCCAAAGTGCTCAAGGCAACAGTGTCAGCTTCCAGAGTAAGCTGTGCCTAAGCATCTAAGGTTGGACCATGAATGAGGATGACAGAACAATTGGTGCCTTTGAATTGTGGTGCTAGAGGAGAGTACGGGCTACCATGAGCTGTCAGTAGAACAAACAAGTCTGTCTTGAGGAAGTGCACCCAAGGTGTTCCCTCTCCTCCTCTTCCCCCACTTTACCCTCTCTCATTCCCTTACCCCACACCCTTCCTCTTCACCCCCTCCCCTCCCTAGGATACCACCTCGCCCCTCTCTTTCTTCTCCCCTCATTCCCTCACTCTCCCTGCTTCTCCTGCCTTTTCTGCCCTGCTCCAGCCCCAGGTGCATCTTCTGCCTGCACTCCAGGTGTGTCCTCATGTCGCCCTCTCAGGGAGGCCCCGCCCCGCCCAGTCTCCCTTTCTTACCGTAGGTTTTGTGCAGAGCAGACATGGATGCCCACTTGGCTCTGTGTTTGCTGCGTGTCTTACTGTTTGCTGTGTCATTTCTAAAAAGGTTCACCCCACAGAAGCAGGATCTGTGTCTCGCTCTCCATGGTGGCCCAGTGTCTGGAGCAGTTGCCGGCACGTGTCCCCTCCCATGACGCAAGCTTAGAGCGGTCTGGTGGCTGTGCTGCCCTGCTGGTGATGGGGGCTGTGTTCTGGAAGGGGGAGCCGGGAAGGAGGTAGCTTAACGTCGGTTGAGTGAGGGTAATTCTGGCAATTAGTTGCCATAATTTAGACTTCTCAGAACTGTGGTTTGGAGAAGGACACCTGCCACAGGCTCTGGTTTGGAGAGCAGCGAGTCAGGAACTTTCTAGGGTGTCTGAGGGGTAACGCCCATCTTCGCATTGTTTGGAGCTGGGCCGTGCACTCTGTGTCCATGTGCTGTGTGCGGGCTCTGAGAGTCCAGGGACTCTGAACATAGTTTGTCCATTACCGCTGTCATTACCAGGAAGGCGATTCTGACTCACAGTGGCCCTGTAGGACAGATGGAACAGCCACCTGCGGCTTCGCGTCTTTCTCCTTCAGAGCTGCTGGGGTGCTGTGCAGAGGGGTGTCCCGTGGGGACTGAGAGCTGCTGGGGTGCTGTGCAGAGGGGTGTCCCGTGGGGACTGAGAGCTGCTGGGGTGCTGTGCAGAGGGGTCTCCTGTGGGGACCGAGAACTGGCCTGCCCTGTTCACCCGCCCTGTCATGTGGGCTCAGTTCTCTCAGTCTGGGTGTTGGCTATTCTGAGGGAACGTGGGGCAATATCATCATGCATCTTCCTGGCTCAGGGGGACCCTACCTCAGTGTTTGGGGTTTCAGTTTCTGTTGTGGTCAGAAGGGAGGCAGTGAGTCTGGCTAGCTCTAGACAGACCCCCAGACCTTGATTTTGAATCTAGACCTTGGACAGCTTTTGGATCTGCACATCCATGTGCCTGGGACAGCTGCCTGGGGCCCGAGGTCTCAGTGCAGATCCTTCTAGAATAGCAGTTTTCTGACTTCATTGATGGATAGAAGAGCTAGTGCCTTTGGAGGGATGAGGTTTATGGGGGCCAGCCCGAGGCAGGCATATACACAAGTCTGGGTGGGCCTCTTCTTACCCTTCCTGGTAGCCTTGTGGTAAAGAATTGCGCTGCCAACCCAAAGGCTGGTGGTTGGAATCTCCCAGCCGCTCCACACAGTGTCATCCTGTGCTGTATCCTGCCTCTGAAAACCCAGTGGATTGGTTCCGACCTGATGGTACACAACAACAACTAGGAGATGAAGTGTCATGAGAATCGACTACACTCATAGTGACCCCACTGGGCAGAGTGGGACTGACGGTTCCTTCCCACTGGAGTTCCGAGGCTGTCAGTCTTTACAAGTGTAGACGCCACGTCTTTCTCCTTGTAGAGTGGCTCATGGGTTTGAACTCCTTTTTGGCTAGCTGATGCTTTAACCATCATGCTACCAGGCCTCTTCTTGGACACAGAGTCCAGTGTAGTCATAGCTGTCGCCTGTCTTATACTTTTCAGTGTAAACATACATGTGCATTCTAGTTTTAGACCTGTACTTGGTAGGTTTTAAGACTCTGGGTCTGTCGATCAGGTTTCAAAAGCTAAACCTTTTTTTTGTTTCTTTTTTGTTTCAGACTCCTTTTAATTTTGGCATGAATCATAGAACACCGCCCTACCCTGCTGGGGATTACTGTCTCCTGTGCAGAAGCGAGCGCAAAGACTCCTCATTCTCGGAGAGTGGGGTTAAGGCTGGGAGCAAGCTGGCCTTGTCCATGGCCCCCAAAGGCAGCAACGTGCTGCATCTACCGCTGTGGGTGTGCCCAGACTGCCGGCGGACGGTGGAGAAGGAGGACCGGGCCCGGCACGAGCAGAGTGCGGTGAGTCCAGACCTCCAGAGTGAGCATCCCAGCCCCTCGCCCCATCCCTGGGCACGCCCTCCTGGTGGTGGTGCGTCCCTGCTGGAAGTGAGGGGAGGAACCGGGCCTCCGCACTGGGCACTGCCTGATCAGCAAACTGGAGACCAGAAGGGGGCTTTGGTTTTCCAACTACCTGGGGTCTGGAGTCGGGTTTATTGCCGTGCCTGGGGCAGCGCTCCTGGTGCAGGCACACCTTGTATCATGGTGCTTTCTAGACACTGAAGGATGTAGCAATCCTGCAACCATCAGGTCTCTTACCCACAGCATGAGTTCACTTTGTGGCTGTGTCACATTTGGTCCTTCTGAACGTATTTCAGATTATTTCCATCATGCTTTTGTACACGAAATAGATTATAGGCAGGTCAGAACATTTCTGCGCACTGGGAAAACGCCACGACGCACTGTATCATAGTCTTTGCTTTAAAGATCGCTTTGTTGCAGTATTTGCTTGCTGCAGTGGTCTGAACTGAGCTGGCTCTGAGCTGAGCTCTGCCAGTGTCTGGCTCTAGTCAATGCCATGTGCCACAGATTCTGCAGAGTTCTTTACCAGATGCCGTTCTCAAGTGTGTTTTGTTTTCCTTAATCCTAAAGTTGGCATAAAACCACTGCTGGGAAGCCCCAGCATCCAGGAACCCAGGCCTGGGCTGTGAGGCTTGTGTGCGAAGATCACACCTTCAGACTTTGCGCACACCGGTCCTAGTGGGCTTCTTCCAGTGAGTCTTCAGACCTGCTGTTGGCGTTCTAGAAGGAATTGCATTTGTGAGCATTCAAGACCACACACTCTAGGGCTCGACTGTTCCCTTGGACCTCTGCCGAGCTGTTGTTCTCTTCCTTCTGGAACATTCCTGAGTGCAGGCAGTGACAGCAGCACACCCTGCTCCCCAGGCCAGTCTTGTCCCTCTGCTGCATATTTGGGTCTCCATCTTTCCTTGTGGTTGCTCTGTCCCAGCTGCCTCCTAGCTGGCCACTAAGCAGCTGACAGGATTTAGGGTTTCCCTAAGGCAGCACCCTGATTCCAGCTGCCAATATCCGTCATTATTAAATTAATACTATTTTGCTTTAGTTGTTTAATGTCAATATGTCATAGCTTATTAAAATAGACATAGATTCTCACTCGTTAGTCCGCTTCGTTCTGCCCTTACTTAGCTCTGTCTCTACCATGCTGTACACTCTTCTTTATTTTACATTTCTTCTAAATGACAGTAGACATTTCTGGAGGGCAGCAGTGTGTGCCCTTTGCCAGGAATGGGGCCTAGTCCGGTGACTTGTTGAGCTGTCCTCTTTTTCTCACTGACCCTCAGATTTATCAGACGTGTTCCTCCCTAGGAACTGGTCCCTTTTGACATATTAGACACTGAATAGTTAATGAGCAAGGGAATAAAGACAGAATAGGCCCTGAAATCCCCTCACGTTTTATGCCTTAGAAAGTTGGTATAAAGATCACCATGTCAAGTCAGTTTTGATTGACAGCAGTCCTGTAAGACTGAGGGTCGTATCTCCATGGCTGCAGTCTTTTTATATGTATATATACACAAACTAGTTTTTTTACAGAATTCAAATACATTACTTTTCACACCAGATCCTTCCCATTTCCCTCACCCCGCTACCTACCACCCATCAAATTGTATGACCCTATGATTAATCCCCAGCCCTGCACATCCTCCCCCCTTTATTTCCACCCTCCCCCCTTGGATCCTCATAATCATTCTACAATAATGGTTTTATACAGTATTTGTCTTTGTGGGACCGAGTTGGTTCACTCACCATAATACTCTCCACTCCCTCCCAAGTTAGGGTGTAATTTCTCCTGCGTGCTGTCGTGGCTGCAGTTGTGATGGGAGCAGGCTGGCACTTCTTTGCCCCAGGACTCTGTGAACAGCAGATCCGAACCGTTCCCTGTTCTGCAGCAGTGTCCTAACCACCTTTGCCATACGTGAGCCCATCAGTCGAATGTGTCAGTACATCTTTGTTGGGGGTCTTCTCTGTGTCATTCGTCTTGCTGACAGTCATTGTGTCTTGTTGAGGGTCTTCTCTGTGTCATTCTGTCTTGTCGACTGTCAGTGTGTCTTGTTGACTGTGTGTCTTGTTGAGGGTTTTCTCTGTGTGAGTCCATTTTGTTGAGAGTCAGTCTGTCTTGTTGAC